AATTATGAAGAATTGTTATGTCATGTTTTAATTATATTTGAATTCAAATTATGCTTGCATTTCCACAGTAATTTTCTCTTTGGCCCAACAGTTATTTACAATTGAACTGCTTAGTTTCCAAGTGTTTTGGAATTTTCATATTATTTATTGTAATTCCTATCTTAATCTCACTGTGTGGACTGAACCTCCATTAAAGAAGATCTGGTGACACAGTGCCTAAGGCATTTGACTCCTACCAGAAGTTTGGCAGTTCAACCAGCTGGTCCATGGAAGGAAGATGGGGTAATCTACTTCCGTGAAGATTTACTGCCTTGGAAACTCAATGGGGGTCACTATGAGTCCCAACTGATGTGATGGTACCTAACAACGACAAAAATAATAGATGTCATGTGGTGGGTATGGAGTGGGCTTTGGCTCAATGAGGACTCCAGGGACATCAATGGAACTTTGTCACCCTGAGGACTCCAGTTTATCATTAGCACTGTAAGCCTTAGGAGGGTACAGGATCCATGAGAAGGAGTCGAGTGCCCAGCAGCTGTGGCAGTACCCATGGTAGGATGGCACCAACCTCTCAGCTACCTGAACTTATTCCTGGACACTTACTATTTTTTTTTTTTAATTGTGATTTGGGTGAAAATTTACAGAGCAAATTCACTTTCCATACAGCAGTTCACATACACTTTGTCTCATGACATTGACCACAATTCACCACAATGCAACAGTTCCCCTCCAACTTCCTCCTGACAGTCACCTCTTATTTGTGTCTATCCATTCAAGCACCCCTGCCCCCTAAGCTGTCTCCCTGTGCATAAACAGCCCTTCTTTCTCCCATGATTGTTCTCGCCAAGGAGTGTATCTACCTCAGGTAAATGTTCAACTCATATGCCTGTCTTTTTTTTGGCCAGAAGCCACAGGTGTGGGTTCAATTCCAAACCTGAGGGGCAGCGAGGGGCCATAGTCTTAATGATTCTACCAGGCTCTATCGGACCAGCAAACCTGATCCCCCCCCCTTTTTTTTCTCCAAATGATTTTGAGTTTGTTCCACATTGTTCTTTTTCTCTATCCAGGATCTCCTACATAGATCCCCCTCTGAGTGATTGAGAGTGGACACTTACTCTTGAGACCTCCCTCAAGTGTCTGATGGGATCCTGGTTGTGCTAGTGCAAGAGAGAGGACAAAAGCCAGCCCAACATAGCTCACATACTCAGAACCTCACCTGATCCACTTGGCAGCCTTAGGAGGCAAGTATTATCCTCATTTCACGGATGATGAGATGGATCCTTACAGCAATGGATCTGAAATAACTGTCAAGTAGACTCTTTCTAGAAGTAATGCTAGTGTTTCCTGTCATTTCAATTTCAGACAAGAATTTTGCCTCCCTAAGTTCACTGAACAGCTGATTACTCATTAGGTAATTTTTACCTAAGGTTTTTTTGTTTTGTTTTGTTTTGTTTAATCTTTCATTATATTGTTTATAGCAAACTTAACCTGTGCTCTTGGGAAAAATATAGATAGATGAGAGGAAGAAGGGAAAGAAAAAAATTCCCCTACAATCTTACCACTAAGAAAACCACTGGTAACTTGTCAGGGGACAAAACTTTGTATTCCCTATGCAAAGATGTCTATATACATTTATGGCCTTTTCCCAAAAATGGGACATGTGGAAGACCAGCACACTTTAAGAAGCACTAACAAAATACATATGGTATAATAAGATGCTTTATTTTTCATAGAATCATGAACATCTCTTTCTTGCACATGGATGAAAATCCCCTACTGAAACACAAAGCACTGCTACTGGTTGGGTCAAAGGCTGCTGGTAATAGAGTGATACCTAAAGCCAAGTATTAGCATAGGTTATGTTGTTGTTGTTGTTGTGTGCCCTGGAGCCAGACCTGACTCATAGCAACCTCTCCTTGGGTTTTCAAGGCAGTATCACTACGGAAGTAGATTGCCCCATCTTTCTTC